CGGAGGAGGAAAGAGAGAGAGAAGGAGATAGGGGGAAGGAGAGAGAGAAAGAGAGAAGTAGAGAGAGAATGAATGAATCTAATTTTTATCAATGATGTTTGTTTTATGTATGAATTCAACTGCTTGTTCATTGTATTAGTACAGTACGGTCAAACCCCGTTATACCACCGGTCATATTTGACCCTGTTTTTGCCAATGTGCAAAAAAGAACGCCTAGATCTACATGTATGTGTGTCAAGACGCGATGGAATTAGGCGCGTGCTGGTAATTGTTTTAGCATGTAGAGTTGTTGGTATCATCTTACTACTTGTTCATATGTCTATCTTTCGATGAAAACAATGTCCGTCTGTCTTTGTTAGAAATCGAGATATTTGCGATTGAAGGAGGCTGGGGTCGCCTGGTTTCAGAGATACAATAAGGCAGAAAGTGGCTGCCCAAAGTGTCGTGACTACCTTAGCTTTAGAGTCCTTGGAAACTGAAAATTTCCAATTTTTGTGCATTTCAGTATTATTTCAGTAAAACCTATACAGAAATGTTTTTTTAAATGAACTAAAAAGCAGTTGAGCCCCCCCGCCCCACCCCCCCACACACACACACAATCTAAAAAAAAATTTTAAAATTTGTTCAGACCTGTGGGAAAAATGGCGGTATCTTCGATTTCACTATTTCGACGAGCGCCCGATATAATATGTGTAGCTTTCATGTATTTTCTTGGTCCCGCTTCTTTTAAATCGACAATTAGACAGTCCCGAGTAATGGTATTCTCCACCTGTTCATGAATGTAATAAGTTCTGGTTCCTTGTCTTTCAGGCCACAGATGTTTAGAGTGCAAGTCCTTTCTCGTAACCCTTTAACGATTCCGGGTCGTTTTCCGTCTATGTCAGTCCGTTTGTGGGTGGTTGGCAGGTGCTCTGGTGTGGTTTGCTTCTTCTTTCCTATCAAACATCTATCGTCCTTATCTCTTCCTTCTTCTTTTTTATGTTTGTTACTCTCTTGTAACGCCTCTAATCTTCTGGCGCTCAAATGACCTTATACAGTTGCGAGCGCCGTAATACGTCTACTATAACAAAACAAACCTCTACTTAAACCAAAATCAGTCCGTTTCTGTAGCAATAAATAATAATCCACCGCCGACTTGCTAGGCCTGTCACAGTTTCACCAGAGCCCTGCTGGCCTGCAATTTTTTGGGCTGACTCCGGATCTCCTTCACGGCTAGTGTAACAACTTGGTGGAATCAGGAGGCGTTCACTGCATTTTTCGCTGGGCCTTTTGGCCAATTTTTATCAAATTTTTGTTGTTGCTTGTTGTCTTTTCAATCGCGTCTATCTCGACTTCTGATTATCGTGGTATGGTAAATTCCATGAAAAACACACGTAACGTATAGATTGTGAAGTCCCGAATTTTACATATGTACATATGTATTTTATTCTTTGTATTCAAAACATGCACATAGCAGCATAAACAGTTCTTACAAGTTGGGGGATAAAATAGAGTAGAATAGTGGTGAGGTGAGTGTAGAATAGGGGGGGGGGGGGATAAAATAGAGAGAAAAGTAGAAGGAGAGAGAGAGAGAGAGGGTGAAGTAAGAGAGAATGAATGAGTCTAGTTTTTGTCAATGATGTTTGTTTTATGTATGAATTCAACTGCTTGTTCATTGTATTAGTACACTAGTACTGTCAAACCCCGTTATACCACCAGTTTGTAAGAAACAGAGCTTCCTAATTTAATGTTCCATCTCCGATAGGACTCAGCCAAATGGGTAGAGAGAGAGCTGCCTTGAGCACATTCCTATTAACAACCCATGCTGAAAACGCTGCCTATTTGGGATTCGACATAATCAATGTTCACGACTGCTTATATAGATGGTCCAAAAGGGGTGAACAGGGTTTCCAATTATGTCAACTAATAAAAGTGGCCCAAAAGGGGTGGACAGGATAACATATTAGGCCTGCTGATGTGTTGGGAATCAAGACCGTCTATCTGCTCTGCATTCCAGCATGGTGAATGGCCAACTGTGCCTTCTGGATCGTTTAGGTTTGCAGCGATAATACCTGTTCCCTTGATTTGATTCATGTTTGTCCGTACTGTCATCAATGTATTTTGGTCATGTATGATCACAGAGTGTGAGAGAGAGAGGGG